TGCTGATGGCGGCAGGCGGAGCGGGGAGCCCGAGCGGGGACCCCTGTGTCACTGTGGGGCAGCGGGGCTGGGAGCTGCCCCCTCCCCTCTCCCGCTGTCCCAGCTCAGCACCCACGTTGGGAATGGGGAAGCGCCACTGCCCCTCGTGCACACGAAGAAGGGAGGCGGGAGCGTGCTGGGCAAGGGAAAGGGTCGGGAAAAGACTGGGCGGGATGCGGGGCTGCTGGATTTGGGGTTCATGGCCGTGGCTGGGTTAGCTCCCCGAGAGCCCCGCACGTGTAACACGGGGTTTGCAATGACCCGTCTCCCTCCTGGGGCGTCTCCTGGTCGTGGGGTGGAAAATAGAAGTTCCCGTCCCCGCTGCCCCGGGGGTGCTGCCGCCTCGCCGGCTGTGGCACCATCACGGGGAGAGGGTGCTGCGGTGCTGCCTCGCCGGGGAAGGGAACAACGGCGGCACGAGCTCCCGCCGCTACTCAGTCATCTCATGGGGCTGCTACAGCGCTGGGTTTCAGCTGGCCTCTGTGCCCCCCTCCCTCCCGTGAACCGAGTTCTGGCCGTTCTCTGCTGCCGTCTCCCGACGGGGACAGTACAGGGACGTGCAGTGGGGGGGATGAGACGGGAACCGAAGCCAGGGGCTGTGGCGGTGCAGAGATGCTCGGGGAAGCTCTGCCCTTCTCTCATAAAAGTCCTTTATTAGAACAGCAAACATGACACTTCTCTTCAGTACAGCGGCTGTATGCAGCTATCATCGCAGTACAGGGGAACGACGTCTTACAATCACTGGGAGTCTAATAAGCACCATGAACATCCTAAAGAACGGGGGGATAACGGCTGAGAGAGGAGCCCCGGGTGAGCCGGCCACGGGGGCTCATCAGGAATTCACCAAAGAGCTGCTCGGCGTTGTCCCGCAACACGGCTCTCCTGCAGCTGAGAGAAACTCCTCGGTGTAAGTCAACGAGATAGCACCCATCCAATAAATTAGGTAAACTTAATACTAGAGCAACAAGGGAACGAATGGGACCGTCCTAGAGAGAGGGCACGCTGGAAGGGAATGGTCTATTTACACTTGTCTTTCTGCTGGACCGCTACTCCCGTAGCTCCCCCCCCAGACCCCCGGACCGATGAGCTGCAGCTCTCTGGCCAGGCTGGGCACGCGGGCACCCGCCCGGCAGCGACACCGCTGCCTCCCTC